AGCTTTTCCACATTGCGACCATCAAGAAGACGCGCACAACAGTAGGCGTAGGCGACTTGGAAAGTTGATTTAGGCCTAAAAATCCTGAGAGGCTTTGTGGACGTACCACAGAGTCGTACCAGAGACTGCGCTGCTAAAACTGAGTGAAGCAACGAATCTGAGAGAGCAGGCTCTAAAACTGGCTAAGGAAAGAGTGAAGACCCGCCTGTGAGTGCTGTCGTTCGTGACTAGAGTTGTAAACGATTGAAATAGGCTGCGTAGGAAGTTATTGCTGTTAATTCGACAGCAGATTTTAGGCGCAGGCTAAACATTGTATGGACTAGGGTGCTCGAGGGAGGACTGAGTTGAACAGTTTTTACGCAGCTGACTGGAGGACTAACACTCATTTTATTATTTTAAACTTTTTTGCAGCAGCTCTCTAGCTTTCGCCTTCCTCTTCTCTTCTACCTCCGTTCTCTCCAACCCCTTCCTATTTCCCCACATCACCCTCTCTAGAGAATCTAGGCTTCTCTTGCCCTATTTCTTATAAATAACCATTTATTCCAGTGCTTTAAATCTTTAGTCCCTATGACTGACTGGTCATTTAATGAGTCTGCAAGCTGCAATACCATTCCCGATCAAACCCGTCGGACTAGAGCCCTGCGAAGGCGGGTCCCTTCTGGTCGTTGTATACTGTTCATTTAATTGGAGAAGAGTTTTCTCTTCGTGTTGTCGTAGCACCAAGGGATACACGGAGCCCATCGGTGCAAGAAGCTGGACGAACTGGCACGCCGCCGCTACGTCCTGTGATACGACCTTACATTACCTGATCTTCCATTGGTTAGGCAATACGTGGTCGTAATGCCAGCAGGAAACAATACCTGGAGGTCGGATCGCAGCTGCCATGAATGCGTTACGTAGAACATACACAAACATCCTCTGCAAATGCATGGAGAAGGTGATTAGGAGGCACGTATGTAGGCATCGATTGCGTTATACCCTCCTTAGTGGGGCGCAGCATAGATTACTAAAGCATAGATCCTGTATCACTAACCTTCTGTGCTACTTGGACGAAGTCACAGAAAAGCTAGACGAGGGTCGTACCGCTGAGGTTTGCTACCCCGATTTTAGTGAAGCTTCTGGTTCTCTGAACCACATATTGCTTCTTCGCAAAATCAAAAGATTTGGGCTGGAAGAGAATCTGCATAGATGGTTAACCGCTTTTCTTATAAATAGAACCTTT